GGGAGGAGGTGTTAGCTGACACATGGCTCACCATTAGCAAGAGGCGAGTGATGTTTTGTGTCCTATACTTGCAGTAGTTCAGATTGAAACATGACAGCAAGAAAACACCATTCAGCCCTTTGAGCCTGTTCTGCCAATGAATTCAATCATAGTGGAAGCGTGACTTATCAACCTGCTATGTTTTAGGGACACAGGTTCGAATCCTGCCACAGCTGATGATGGAATCTAAATTCAATGAAATTAACAGTCTAATGATGACCATGAAAGCATTGTCAATTGTTGGAAAAACCCATCTGGTTCACTAATGTCTTTCAGGGAAGGAAATCTGCTATCTTTACCTGGTCTGGCCTGCATGTGACTCCAGACCCACAGCAATGTGGTTGACTCTTAACTGACCTCTGGGCAATAAATGTTGGCCTGGCCAGTGATATCCATATCTCGTGAATGAATTTAAAAGAACTGTTAATGCACTTTCCCAACAGAAATCTATCCCCTTTATCTTCGAAACATGTCGCCCAGCGTCATCAGCATTTTTTTGGGTGGTTTGGGAGTGAAGTTCCAGATTTCCACTACCTTCAGTGTGAAGAATCCTTCCTCGCATCACACCTTGCTTTAATTTTAAGGTTACACCCTCTTATTCTAGACTTCTTCCAGCAGAGACAATAATTTCTCTCTATTTAACTTATCAAATCCTTTAATATCACAGTAGGTTGCTCCTTAATCTTCTAGTTGTCCTAATCAAACAGTTCGGACATATTGTGACACAACTCTGGAGCAGGTTCAGTCCTGAACTCAGACCTTGTGGTCCCAAGGTAGGGACACTACCACTGTGCCGCAAGAGCCACCTTAATCTTCTAAATTTGAGAGAATCTAAACCTAGTCTCCAGCAAACTTGTAATATAGCATTATGATCCCATAGCGCTATTCAGGAGTAAAATACATTTCCTTCCTCTGCCTAATGCTGCCAAAGGTATCAGAATTAAGGAGCACCAATTTAAGAAGGAGATGAGGAGGAATTTCTTCTCCCAGAGGGGTGAGTCTCTTTGGAACTCCTTGCCACAGAGAGCTATGGGGACAGGGTCTTTGTGTATATATAAGGGTGAGATAGATAGATTCTTATCAATCGGGGAATTAAGGGTGATGGGAAAGGGCAGGAAAGTGGTTGTGAGGAATGTCAGATCAGACATGATCCTATCGAATGGCACAGCAGTCTGGAGGGGCCAAATGGCCTGCTCCTACTGTTCTGATTTCTTATGGGCTTATGGTCTAACTTGGGGCACGGAGGCTATTTGGAGGGAGTCATCAACCTATTGACTCTTACAATACCAAAAGAGGAAGTTCAGACATCGTGCCTGCCAATCTCTTTGAAACAACACCTAAACTTCTCTGATGCCTTTAATATAACAAAACCTTACAAAGCAAAGTATGACATGAGACACAGTGTGAGCTATTGGGTCAAAAACTTGGTCAAAGATGTAATTCTGTAAGGAACTTTTAAAAGGAGCAAAGAGAGAGATGAAGAGGTTCAGGGACTGAATTCCAGAGCTTTCAGACTAGGGAACTGAAAGTATAGCCGAAATTAGGAGTACAGATATCTTGGAGAGTTGAGAGGCTGGAGGAGAGGGAGAGGCAAGGTGATGGCGGAATTTTTAAAAAGGAGAATGGGACTTGTGTGGGAAATGTTGTCAATTAGTAAGACCATAAGGTGTAGGAGCAGAAGTAGGTCATTCAGCCCATCCAGTCTGTTCCACCATGCAATGAGATCATGGCTTATCTGATAATCCTCAGATCCATTGTCTTGAATTTCTCTATAACACTTGATTCCCTTCCTGATTAAAAATCTGTCTGCTTCAACCTTGAAATAGTTAATGACACAGCCTCAACAGCCCTCTGGGGTAAAGAATTACACAGATTCACTACTCTTTAAGGGGGAACCCTTTTTCTGAGATGGTGCACTCCAGTCCTAGACTCTCCCACAAAGGGAAAACAATCTTTCTGCATCTATCCTGCCAAGTGCCCCAAGAAAATCCCACTTTTCCTCTTCCCCTTCCACATTTATGTCCAATTGCCTTTTGAAAGCTTCTGTGGAATTTGTGTCCTGCAGCCATTCAGGAATCCCTTTCCAAATTTTAACGCCCTCACGTGAACATATTTCACTTCCCTCAAATAGCTGTGATTAGCTAACTGAACACAAACCAGAAATAAATCTGGACACCTTGTACATCCCCGACACTCGGTTACAAGACACAGCATTATCGGTCACCTGTCAGTAATGCTCCTGGTCTAACAAGCCCACAGGACCAAGAGTTCAAATCCTACTGCAATTGCAGGGAATGGCATCAGATAAGATTGGCTGTGTAGATGTGGTGGCTGTTTGTAAAACTCCAGCTGGTTCAGGAATGTCAATCAGGAAAATAAGAACATGTATTCAAGATGATGAAGTGTACAAGATGATGAGAGGCATAGATACAGTGGATACCCAGAGACTTTTTCCCAGGGCGGAAATGACTATTATGCGGGGGCATAAATTTTAAGGTGATTGGAGGAAGGTATAGGGGAGATGTCAGCGGTAGGTTCTTTACAGAGAGTGGTGGGTGCGTGGAATGTGCTGTCGGTAGTGGTAGTGGAATCAGATACATTAGGGACATTTAAGTGACTCTTGGATAGGCACATCGATGATAGTAAAATGTAGGGTATGCAGGGTAGTTTTATCTTAGAGTAGGATAATAGGTCGGCACAACATCGTGGGCCGAAGGGCCTGTACTGTTCTACGTTCTATGTATTCATAACAAAGGATTTCAGGGTTTCCAAATCTCCCACCGCGACTGTCATGCTTTCAAGGTACAATCACTGCTTTAATGTAGGGAAACATAGCAGGTAATGCATGCACAGAAAGATCCCGATAATCACATTGAGATAATATCCAAATCATAAGTTTGGTTTTCGTTGCAGCGATATTGGCTGATGGATAAATAATGTCCCCTGGACTCTAGGGAAAATCACTTGCTTTTCCATTTGAATCAATTCCTTGTTTGTGCAAGAACTGAAAGATTAAAACTGGGATAGTTTTGTTTTAATTAACACATGCATTTATAGCAAAATAGAAATCTGTTAAAGTATAAAGCAATTGACTTAATGACTTACATCTCTATAGAGCCGTTCACAAGTTCAAGATGTCCAACAATGCTTTGGGAACATAACAACAGCAGTAGACCATTCAGCCCAATCAGTCTGTTTAATCAAAACCAAAAGAACTGCGGATACTGTAAATCAGGAACAAAAAACAAAGTTGCTGGAAAAGCCCAGCAGGTCTGGCAGCATCTGTGAAGGTAAAAACAGAGTTAACGTTTCGGGTCCGGTGACCCTTCCTAATTAGTTCTGAGGAAGGGTCACTGGACCCAAGACGTTAATTCTGTTTTTACCTTCACAGATGCTGCCAGACCTGCTGGGCTTTTCCAGCGACTTTGTTTTTGAGTCTGTTTAATTATTCCATATAATCATATCTAAGTGAACACTTCAATGCTTTTTACCCACCCCATCCTCACAACCATGTACATTATTGGTGACTCATTCTGGAGTCCGTTCACAAGTCTATTTGTACATGGGTCAGAACACATTGCAGAACAATGTAAAGCAGCTGTTTGTAAGTACAGGAAATGTCTGTAAGTCAGGACTTTAAGTCCTGCATGGGATCCCTGCATGGGATTGCATTCGTGAGTATGAGTGTTTGTAAATTGTGGAGCCCTTGTGCAATGTGAATGCATGCTCAGCATTATCCTGGGAACGTACACTCAGTTACACTGTGAATGTACATAGGATCAGGAGCAGGCCATTCAGCCCCTCAAGCCTGCTCCGCCATTAGGTAAGATCATGGCTGATCTTGGCTTACTCCACATGCCTGCCTTGGGCCTATATCCCTTGTTTAATAAAAAGTTGTCTATCTCAGATATAAATCCAACAATTGAATTGGCATCAACTGCCTTTCGAGGAAGAGAGTTACAAACTTCCACAACCTTTGCATGTAGAAGTGCCTTATTGAACATCTCTCCTGAATTCTAATTCTCAGACTGTGCCCCCAGTTCCAGACCTTCAACCAATGGAAATAGGTTATCTTTATCTGCTGGGTCTTACCCTGTTAATATCCTGAAGACCTTGATTAGATCATCCCTCAACCTTCTAATTTCTAGAGAAAACAGGCCTAATTTGACTGATCTCTCCTCATAACTTAATCTCTGAAGTCCAGGTATCATCCTTGTAAAGGATGAACCACGAAAATCCCCAGGAGCTATTCAATTTGCTTCACAATGAACTGCCACCCACTTGGCCCATTTGGGACTGGGCAAAAAAAAATCCAGCTCTCCAAAACTCTGCAGTTTCTGTGCTACATCCATTCTGACTGCTTGCACATCCTCTGATATTAATTCCCTCCCAAAGCTTTTCACCTTTCTCCCCTCCATTCCTTAAAACCTACTTCCTTGTGCAAGTTTTAGGTAGTTTATTAGGCTTGACTGAGTCCAGTGAAATATTGCCTGATAGTACTCCCATTAAGTGGCTTGGTTATGTTCTTAACACTTGGTTAAAGGCACTATACAAATGCAAGTTTGTGTTGCTGTTTAAGAAAATAGAGTAATGATATTTTCCAGGTATGGTAGATTAGTGACCTGAGAAGCTGGATTGGTTAAGAGATGGTTAAGAGGAGTCCTGATTGGAGTACTCAAAATCAGGAGAGGTCTGGACAGAACAGGGAGGGAGACTCATTAAAGAACTAAAAACAAGAGGGCATGGTTTTAAAGCAAACAGCGAAAGAAGCAAAACTGATATTTGTAACTTTGGAAGATTGCACAGGGCTGGTAAGGCTGGGTTGTAAAGTATATTCAAGGCTGAGATTGATTTTAATCTGCAAGGAAATGGAGGGTTATGGGGAAAAGGCAGCAAAGTGGAGGTGAGCATTATCACATCTGTCATGATATCATTGCATGGCGAGCAGACTCGATGGGCTGAATGGCCTACTTCGTTCCTGCCTCTTCTGGGTCTCATAGTTAGGATTTGGTGAGCGCACTGCCTAACAGTCTGGTGGAGGCAGGCTCAATGTAGGCTTTCGAGAAGGAATGAGGACAGTAATTTGAAGAGGATGTAAGGGGTGACGGGGAGAAGGGCAACCGGGTGAGGCGCTCTTTCGGAGAGCCGGCACAGACAGGCCAGGCCGAACGGCCTGCTCCCGTGCGCTGTAAGCTTTCTGTGACACGAGGGCGGAGACCGGAAAGCACATCAAAGTTCAGGTGAACACACACACATACATACATACAGAGCGAACTCTGATCGTCCTACCCCGTTGTTGCTTTAAGAAGTTGCGTGCGACCCAGTGGGCGCTATGACCGATTCGGACAGAATCGCTGCTGTTGTGCATGGCTCTCTCTTTCATCCCCCTGTGCAGAAAGTTTAAAGTTAGTCTGACAGACACATGCATTTGCTGTTGGGACATCCGATAGCAGGAGCAACAGGGTTAAGAAAGGGCGTTGCAAGCGTTACAGTTAAATTGCAACAAAGCAGGCGGTGACTTTACACTCTGGTCTCAGCTATTGGGAAAACGGTAAGATCAAATATTCGAAACCTGACAGTCAGTAACTAATTTTGTATATTTTACTTTTCCACAAAGTCAATCTTTTTTAAAAGCAGGAGAAAAAAAACTACGATTTTTTTTGGTTTTATTGAAAACAAAGCTAATATTTAGAATAGAAAACATTTTTTTCTCCCTCCATAGAGAATTTAACTTCTCAAAAAAGTTAATTTAAAAATAAGTTTGGAGAAAGCACAAATTGAATTGAAGCTAGACCAGTAGAAGTTTCTCAGCTGATTTGGGGAGCGTGAATACCTTGTCAGAATAGTGATTCTTAAATTATCTGGCTGTTTAGCTTAGCTTCAGAATTTAAGAGTTCCCAGTTTGTTGCAATGGCAATTTAGGATTAAAATGACTTGGATTGTCTTTTGAAAACATTAGGATCATTCGTGTTCTGTGCTTTTAAGAAAGTAGTCTAAAAGCTGGAGGATTTGGGGTGCAGTATTTCTGCTGGGGAATGACAATGTGAAATCGGTCCTATTGTTTGCGGCATATTTCCTGGGGACCTGTGTAGCTTTTAACTTTAGACCTGACCGATGGCAGGTTTAGAAGCAATGGGTAAAATTCGTGTTTTGTGCCGCTTAGTTCAAAATAAAGTTCAAACTCCGTGTTTACTGGCCCTGTGTGTGTATGTATGTGAGAGAGAGAGCGCATAGTCTGGCGCCACCTCCTGTTAGCATAGCGGGGACACCTCGGAGATTGCAAAATTTGCCTTTGACTAGCACCTGTCGTGGCTTCTGACTGTCCTATAACCAACGAAGTTACTTCCATGGAGTCCAGCCACTGGTGCAATACGGTTGGCTGAGTTGGCCGAAATAAAGAACTGCAGATGCTGAAGATCTGAAACTAAAACAGAAGTTGCTGGAGAAACTAGCAACATTAACCCTGCTTCCTCTCTCTCCCCCCACAAAAGCTGCCAAATGTGCTGAGTTTCTCCAGCAATTTCTGCTATTGTTTTAGCTCAGTTAGCTGGATGTGATGTGCTTGAGTGATGTCAACATCATGCGTTCAATCCTGCACTAGCTGAGGTTACCATGAAGCAGTCTCCTTCTCAACCTCTCCCCTCGCCTGAGGCGTGGTGACTTTTGGGTTGAACTACTACCAGTCATCTCTCTCTAATGATCTAGTAGGACCATGATGACTTTACCTTTGACAGACGGACTGCAGGAAAAGCAGCACTCAGTGTGTGCACAGCAATCTCCTGCAAACAGCAGCTGTCATAGAGTCAAATAATTTGCTGCAAAAGGCTAAAGGGGTCTGGGACTGGGGATACACCCTCTGTCTTTTCTTCAAATTGTGACCATGGTATTTTTCATGTTTCCTGGGATGGTAGAAAGGATCATAGCTCAAGGACTCACTCAAAAGACAGAAGTGTCGACAGTGCAGCACTCCCCTCTGTGCTGACTCAAGGCTGTCTGTACAGACTTTGTGTTCAAGGCTTAAACCCTCAATCCTGCAAAGAGGGAATATGCACAGCTGTCTGAGTCACAGCTAACAATTTCTTACAGTGAATGTCCCTTCTTGTGACATTGATGTCCAACAATGTCCAACATTGCCCTTCCCAGTTGCCTTTGAGAAGGTGGGGGTGAGCTGCCTCATTGAACCGCTGCAGTCCATGTGCTGTAGGTACACCCACAATGCCCTTAGGGAGGGATTTCCAGGATTTTGACACAGCAACAGTGAAGAAACAGTCAGGATGGTGTGTGGGTTGGAGAGAACTTGGTGGTGTTGCCATGTATCTGCTGCCCTTGTTCTCTGACATGATAGTGGTTGCCATTCAGAAAGTGCTTACTAAGAAGCCTTGTGAATTTTTGCAATGCATATTGTAGATGGTGCACACTTCGACTGAGCGTCAATAGTGGAGGGTGTAGATGTTTGTGGAAGTGGTGCCAATTAAGCAGGCTACATTGCTCTAGATGGTGTCGAGCTTCTTGAGTGTTGTTGGAGCTGCACCCATCCAGGCAAATGGGGAGTATATCATTACATTCCTGACTTGTGCCTTGTAGATTGTGGACAGGCTAAAGTGATCGGGAAACTGAAATTTGTTGGAAGAGCTATTTTCCACTATTTGGATGCTCAGAGTACCCTGGCAATCGCAAGATCACCAGGTGAAGCATTGAAATTGATCTTAGTAATTGAAAATATTGCAGGTTGTTACTGGGTAGAAACGTGAGTGTCGCAATCGGATTGTTGTTAAAAAACATGACTGACCCATTGATGTAGTCAGGCAAGCTTATCATCCCTACCTCGACTGGGTGTGTGCGCATCTCCTGTCCCACACTATGATTCACAATGCCCTCACGGTATTAATGGACTGTGTAAATGGGCTGTTCATCCATATGCTAAAGCGAATTAAAGAACCACAATAAAAAATTAATTGCAGTACAGACTGAAGCCAGGTGAACATCTCCTGAAAATGTTACCAAACCACTGGGACTCATTCAAATCCCTCCCTCTCTTCACAAGACTGTAGTCACAGGGAAAAAGCAGGAGAATGGCACTGAGTCAGAATGGTCATTTGAAGAGCTGGTAGACACGATGGACCGAATGATCTCATTTTTCACCATAAAACCCTTATGATTCTGTTGAGTTAGTTTCACACTCGGACTCCTTTCTGAATGTAAATTTTTTTCTCTTACAAACATTTATTTCATGCCCCCCTTAAAACGTTATTAAAAACAAAGAACAAAGAAAATTACAGCACAGGAACAGGCCCTTCGGCCCTCCAAGCCTGCACCGATCCAGATCCTCTATCTAAACTTGTCGCCTATTTTCCAAGGATCTGTATCCCTCTGCTCCCTGCCCATTCATGTATCTGTCTAGATACATCTTAAATGATGCTATCGTGCCCGCCTCTACCACCTCCGCTGGCAACGCGTTCCAGGCACCCACTACCCTCTGCGTAAAGAACTTTCCATGCATATCTCCCTTATTGTTGAATAAGCTTCCACCATGTGATTATAACAAGTTGTCACATTTAAAAGATAAGAATATGGGAAGCGGGGGAATGAGTAGACCATTCAGCCCATCATTGAACGAGATCACAGCTGATTTTCTCCCTAAATGTTGCTTTCCCGCATTGTTACCCCATTTCCAAAGATTCACTAGCCTCAGTGGAAAAAAAACTCCTCCTCATTTCAGACTTAAATGACCTGCCTCAGGTGTGGCCTGGCAAGGGATACTCTCAACCGGACCAGGGAAAAACACCCTTCCTTCCCCTGTTGGGGGAGGGGGCAGTAATTGACTGATGCTGAGGGGCACTGTCATCAAAATCAGTCCACACAGAAATAGATCAGAGCACAAGGAGGACAATGGTGATACTTGGACAGGGTTCTTTGGGGCATGAGCATGTACGGGGTGGGAGTATGTGGGGGAGAGGGGTGGATGTGTGTGCAACAAGAGGTGAGAGTGTGGGGGGAAGATAGGAGTTGGTAGGTGAGATGAGGGATGAATGTGTGGCGGGGGAAGAGTACGGGGAGGCGTTGGGTGTGTGAGGGTTACTGTGTGGGGGAGTACTGTGGGGAGAGTGAATGTGTAGGGTGGAAGGGGTGTGTGTGTGGTAGGGGAGTGTGATAGTGGGTGGGTGTGTGTGTGAGGGGGGGGGTATTGGTCTTTGCCTGTCCAGTTCTGCAGCATCTCACATAACAATCTTTGTCATCACCCTGCAGGTCTCAGCCGCAGCCTCAGCTCGAGTGAGCAGGAAGCAAAAGACGCCAGGATCCAGAGCCAGAAAATTGCAGCCCAGCTGACTACTCCGCCGAGTACCAACTCCAAGGGCGTGTTGCTCTTCAATAGGCGCAGGAAGAGAGTGAATGCTTTCACCTTAACAAGCTACGGCAAGGGAGAGCACTGCACTGACCTGGAACCGGGCAGCCTCACTGATGGAGAGGGCCGAGACCTTGGAGACGGTCTAGCCGGGCAGCCGGGCAGAAAACCGCCTGCATCATCCGACTCCTCGGAGAACACCAGCCTCTGGCGCTATCAGGGGAGGGCTGAGGGCCACGCCATGGAGTCCACATTGACGGTCGGAAACCACGAGGAGGCAGTGGACCTGAGGTGCCAGACGGGAGCGGAGGAGGACTATGCATCTGAGGACGAGGGGCAGCAGGGTGAAGAGGCAGCGGAGGAGGATGGAGACGAGAGGGAGCTTGCAGGGGAGCCCGGGCTTGAGCTAGGATTCAAGAGTCCCACAGGGACACAGCCGGTGGAAATCAGCCATCCAATGAAACCGGCCAGAACGACAGTGGAGGTCCATTTGGCATCTATTAACCCGCCACATGACCCAGACAGTAAGGATCTACTGAAGGAGGTCAATGGTCAAACGGGCGGCGGTGGTCAACATGGACAGAGCCACATGGTCCACAGGCCTGAAGAGAAGCAGCCATTCTTGGCGAACAGGACACCCAAGCCTTTCTCGGTGGAGGGGGGCTCTCCAAAACCGTACAAGCCACCGGCCAGTGTCCCAGAGATTGCTCCCTATGCCCCGGTTTACTCCCATCAGCCTCCTGGGTCCCAGAGGACATCGTCGGCACCGTCTCCAGGTTCCAACGCGCCGGGCACCGAGCAGCCAGCCAGGCCTCCGGCCACGTGGGCCAACAAGTCGGGCATCCTGGAGGAGTCGAGGATTCGGAAGGCGGGCTGGAAGCCCATGTTCACCTTCTCCGAGAAGCCCAAGGTGGCGCCCAACCCCGAGCTCCTGTCCCTGGTGCAGGGCATCGACGTCCAGAAGAGGAAGGGCGGCCAGGGCGAGGCGCTGGCCGAGGAGGACGACAGCCTGGGCCTGGGGGCCGAGGCTGCCACCTTCAACCCCCAGAAGAAGCCTTCGCCCCCCGTGGCCCCGAAGCCTCCGGTTCGAGGCCACGACGAGCCCCCGGTTCCCGAGTGGGCGTCGTGCCTGAAACCCCCGGAGCTGAGGGCCCCGCGCACGTCAGGGGCCAGCCAGGCCCTGGCAGAGGTCAAAGGGAAAGGGGCGGAGCTGTTCGCGCGGCGTCAGACCCGGATGGAGAGGTACACCATCGAGGCGCCAGTTGCCATGGAGACCAGGCCCAGGCCCCCCTCCCCCACCATGTCCCTGCCGCCATCTTGGAAATGCAGCGACGAGCCCTTCGACCGCAAGAGCGTACCCGCCGGCCCCCGCTCCCCGGTCTCCGCCTTCGCCCGGGTGGGTAAGGCGAACGGGAACCCGGCGGCTCCCCGGCAGCAGCAGCATCACCACCACCACCACGTGAGCTCCTCGCTGTTCGTCAGCTCGTTGCCCAAAGGGGCCCCCTCCCCGCATCGGCTCATCAGGCCCAACCCGGCCCCGGCCTCCTACCTCAGGCAGACCTCGGTGCCGCTCTCCTCATGCCCGCCGACAGCTGCCAAGCCTCCTCCTTCGCCCCCTGCCGCCTCCTCCTCCTCCCGGCTGAACGGATTCACCGAGCACAGCCCCGCCGCGGCCGAGCCCCCGGCTCCAAGCTTCCAGCCTCCTCCTCCTCCTCCCGGCACCGGCGGCAGCTCCTCGCCGTCCCCCCGAGCCACCAAGGGGGTGCTGCAAGCCCCGAGACCCTCCTTCTCCGCCCGGAAAGCAGGACTGGAAGCCCAGGTGTGGAAACCTTTTGGTCTGCTTTTCTGAAAGGAAAACGGTTAGAGTGGGATTTCTGGAAAACCGCGGTCTTAAGCGGGGGGGAGGGGTGGAATTGGCGGGCGTTGGAGAGAGAAACAAAACAAAAAATTGCCTGCCTCTTAGAATGTGCCTGATAGAGGGCTAAAATCAGCTGGAAGGAACTCTCCAGTGGAGCCGAGCACGGGTTCGATGGGCTGAATGGCCTGCTGAAAACGCCAATGTAATTTCCTCTTGCCCCAGTTTGGGATCCAGGTCCAAAACCTCACCCGTGCAAACACAAACCTACCTTGTTCCTCATCAACCTCTCTGGAGATGTTGTTAATACAGTTCTGGCACTTGAACCTAGCCCTCCATGTCCAAGGGTACAGACACTACTGCTAGCCCCCCACACAAAACAAAAGTCCTCCACCCTCATAACCATCATCTCCTCCTCAAAGGTCTTGCCACTTCCCCCTCACTGGCCCAGATTTGGAAGCGTCAAGCCAAACCAATGATGGCTCACCCAGCAGTTCTAGCTAACCTGCGCTTGAAGGTTTATTGGTTTGAATACAAATACCAAAACCTAAGCCCATATTCCAGGCTGACATCCCCAGTGTTACTGAGGGTGCACCGTCATAGAGACGTACAGCACGGAAGCAGACTCTTCAGTCCAACTTGTCCATGTTGACCGGATATTCTAAATTAATCTAGGCTGATTTGCCAGCATTTGGCCCATATCCCTGTAAACCCTTCCTACTCATACTCATCCAGATGCCTTTTAAATGTTGTAATCGTACCAGCCCCCACTACTGCTTCCGGCAGGTCATTCCATATGCTCACCATCTTTTACGTGAAAAAATTGCCGGTTAGGTCCATTTTAAATCTTGTCCCTTTCACTTTAAACCTATGCCCTCTAGTTTTGGACTGTCCTACCCCATAGAAAAAACCTTGGCTGTTCACCCTATCAATGCTCCTCATGATTATATAAACCTCTATAAGGTCACCTCTCAACCTCTGATGCTGCAGGGAAAATAAATCTCATTTTTTTCCTCATCAACCTGTTCATAGATGTTATTACACACCTCTAGAGCAGATGGGATCTGAACCCAGGCCTCCAGGTCCTGGGTAGGGGTACTACCACTACACCCTAAGAGGGCCCCCACACAAAAGTCCTCCACCCTCATCGCCGTCAGCTGCTCAGAAATCCTGCCACTTGCTCCTCACTGACCCAGATTCAAAAATATTAAGCCGAACCAATAACGGCTCACAAGTAGCTGCAGCGAGCCTGTGTAACAAGGTTATTGGTTCACATGTAAATACTGAAGCCTGAGCGCACAATTCAGGCTGACATCTCCATTGCTACACAGGGAGCACCATCCAAGGGTCAGCACTGAGGGAGTGCAACATTGTCAAAGGGTCAGTACTGAGGCAGTGCTGCACTGCCAGAGGCTTGGTATTGAGGGACTGCAGCGCTGTCAGGGTCAGTGTGGAGGGACAGCTGTGCCGTAGGAGGGTTAGTTCTGAGAGAGTGCTACACTATCAGAGGGGCAGTACTGAGGGAGTCCCTTCCTGTCTGGATACATCTAAAAGTCAATATTTCTTTTTCCCTAGTTCCTGACTATTATTCAACCCTCTCCCCACAGGTCAACTTGTCACAGTAAAACCGGTTAGTCTCACTGACCGTCCTCCAACCTGTCCACCTTTCTCTGTATCTCCCTCCCTTTCTCCTTTCTTTCTCCCTCTCCACAAATCTTACAACACTCTTTCCCCACCTCAGTCCCCACTCAGAACTCCAGATGCTGCCTTCCTGTCACTTGGCAACTCTGTCTTTTAGTTTTTATTTGATATTCTCGGCACATTTGTCTCATGATCCTGTATTCTTCTTTTCAGCAAACTTTGAGTTCAGGATGTGCTCCTGTCACAAATGGGACTCTTACTATTGGACTTTTCTCTAACAAATTGGGTCAGGGGTCTGTTCGCAGCCTGCCTGTGGATCCTAAATTGTGGTCACGTCCCATATCAACCTGACATTGCAGGTGCCATGAAGACTGGGAACATAAGAGCTGAGCAGAGGAGGTGTAATGTTCAGTAGGTTGGGGTTGAGGTTGTCTTTTGGGAACTAGAGATTCAAACCACTGGGTGAGGACAATTTCCTGGTGTGAGTGGCCATGTGTAATGTACATTGATGGAATAGCTCCCCTCACCCTGCCCCTCAATCATTCGTTAAGTTGCAGCTGAAGAATCCATCACAGGATGGCACACAATCTCCCATTGCCATTGGTGCATGGAAAACCTTGACCTTTAGTGTTAATTTGCTCCCTCAGGATGGGGTGGGGCTGGAGCGAAACTGGGGAACAGGAAATGTCTGGGGAGGGGGGAATTGTTATAGGGATGCCATACAAATTTGGAACAGGCTGTAGTCCGGTTAGTTAATCAGTTAGTGAGCAGTGGAATTGAGGAGTGGAGGGAAGTGTAAGGACCACACCGTAAAGTTCAAAAGGAAATCTCTATGTTCTGGGCAAAATGTTTTCCTCTTTCCAGTGTTAACCTAGTTTCCATGAACTAGATTCTCATTTCAAGATCAGTGAGAAAAGGGTGGCTGGAACTTGTAGAATAGTCTCCAAATCTGCAATTGGGATGTAAAGGAATAGATTTCTCCTTGACTGACTAACTTTGGGAGTTGACGGAACTGATATCGCTGAGCTCTCCCTCTCTCTTGTTTCTTTGTAATTAAGACACGCAATGCCAGAGGTATTGAAAAATTGTAAACTCACCACTTCTCTCGTTTCTTCTGCAACCTGTTGAGATCTGCTGTTGTATTTATGCTTGGATTGTATCCTGCACTTTAATAAAGCTCTTTTATTTCTCTTTCTGGACACTTTCTCTTTTTTTCCTCTCCTTCATTCTCTGTGTCCCTTATGTATACATTTGCTCTTTTGCTCAGATTAAGCTTTTTCATGTCATCACAGAGGCTTCCACGTTTCCTCGGCTCTCAGAACAGCACAGATCGTCATTAATGAGTGTTGACAACAATCTCAGGATGTGACTTAAAAACAGAAAAATGCTAGAAACTCAGCAGGCCTGGCTGCATCTGTGGAGGAAGAAAAAGAGTTAATGTTTTAAATCCAGTGTGACTCCCTTTCAGAACTGAAAATGGCTGGAAAATGTGATTTTTTTTTTTGCTGTTGACTTTTGGCGGGGATGGGGTGCTGGAATCGGGAGAGCATTGGAGCAGGTGGTGAGTGTCCCCAGAGCAAAAGACAAAGGCAGTCTTCATGGTGGTAAAGGAGAGATAGAGATGTTAAATAGGCGTACATGTTAGGTATGAAAAGGTGAAAATAGGTTCATTCCGCTGAGAGCAAAGCCAACAAGGCATAGTATGGGAGGTGGAAGCTAAGAGAAATGGAGGACTGGGGTCATTCTCTGAAGTTTTGGATCTCAATATTGCGTCAAGGCTGTAAAGTTTCAGTTCTTCGGCCTGCAATGAGCTTCTTTGGAACACTAACATTTCAAGAACAGAAATGTTAGCATGTTGCGCCTAGGTCTGCCACAGTGTTCCAGTGTAGCACTTCGCAATCTAGAGGAACAGCAGCTCATTTTCCACGTGGGCACTTTACATACAGCTTCTAGGAGTCAGTACTGAGTTCCAGCAAGTTCACAGTGTCTTCCCTTTTTCTTATCTCCAACCCTCCCCTGGCCATGTCTTGTGTCTTGTTGGCTTTGTTCTCAGCAGAGTGGATCCATTTCTCAGTTTTCACACCTAATGTTTACACCTATTTTACATCTCCTTCACTCAACCACCATTAGCCTTGGGTCATTTGCTCTGGACTTGCTTTTAGTTCCCATGGTTCCCTGCTCCCCCAAATACATCCTGTCAACAGCATGAAAACTATTATGTTCCAGCTTCATCCTGAAGAAAAGTCATCTGGACTCGAAACATTAACTCTGTTTCTCTCTGTCCTCAGATGCTGCCAGACTTAGTGAGCTCCCCCAGCGTTTTCTGCTGGCACTGTTCTCGCAGCACAGGAGGAGAGATTTAACAAAAGTATCAAAACCACCCCAGATTTTTTGAACAGAGTTTAAAAATAGAGAATAAAAACCAAAAGAACTGCAGATGCTATAAATCAGGAACAAAAACAAAGTTGCTGGAAAAGCTCAGCAGGTCTGGCAGCATCTGCGAAGGAGAAAACAGAGTTAACGTTTTGGGTCCGGTGACCCTTATTCAGAAGGGTGTGTTAAAAATAGAGAAACTGTTTCTGCTAACTAGAGGGACAGTAATCAGAGGACATAGTTTTAAGTTGATTAGCTAAAGAAACCAAGCAGGAGAAGGAAAGAAGCTTTTGTTACTCCAG